ACGTATCATTATTGATATACCTAAATCAATGAATGGTTTTGAAAAATCTACGACTTTTTCTCGGTGTTCCATTTATTGTTAATGGTGCTATTGATAAATCAGCTTTACCTTTAACTAATCCTCCAATCATTCCATCTCAAACACCTTTTTCAATTTCATTTCTATATTTTGTTTCTATTAAAAATTTCTAAGGTAATTTTAATCTCTCATGACATATAGTATAAGCTAAATCAACACAATAACCTTCGACATTTGATGTATCAAGAATAGTACCATGTGGAATTGTTTTTTCAGTTAAACTATCATTACGATTCTTTTTTAACGTCATAAATGATTCATCAAATATTGTTACAACTAAACGTGTTCGATTATCATAAGACATACGAAAACGATATGACACATCATCAGCAACCTAAATATAAAACATCGTTTGCTATATGAATTGGTGTCCTGCATGTGTACGAATTTTCGCATCTGAATCGACACTTTCTTAAAATACCGGCCTCGAACTGGAAGTAATTATATCCAACAGGAGTTTTCATAGTCATACTATTGTTTCATATGACAAAATATCCTATTATTTTAATTGTATCAATAAATAACAATAAAAAGATTATCTAAGATTTCGCAAAAAACTTCAGTTGTTGATGTCATTAATTGCCGAATATGAGATCATAAACGGAACCGATCCGAAATTTTTCTTACTCGATATCTGACCCACTTGTAGGACATTAATATGAATAAACGTGTGAAGTAGGCATACAGTGAATTCGAAATCAAGTTTGAAGTTCCCACTAAATGGTTTGGGAACTATCCAACGAACTCACAAGGGAAAATCCCCAAGTGTAAGTCTCCATTTCGAATCTGGCATTGGTCATTTTCTAGAGCTCAGTGAGTATAGCACGTGGTATATAGGATTCGTCCCCATAATGGACTTTTAAGGAACTACGAAGTCCCACAAAGGATGTCCTAAAATGACTGGAGATAAATTCCTGATGATATTTTTCATCGTTAATATCGAGATAGCGAGCTGAAATTTTTATTACATATAAATATATCTAATTAAGATCTTTTATTCCTGAAAGTTTCAGTTTCCTAGCTATAACTAATGATGAAATACATCGAAAAGATTGAAATAGAAATTTTCCTACTTGATTTTTGAATGACTGTCGTTGTGAAAATACTGGAAAAATCAAGTAGGAAAATTTCTATTTCAATCTTCTCGATGTATTTCACCATTAGTTATAGCTAGAATGCTGAAACTTTCAGGAATAAAAGATCTTCATTAGATATATATGCAATAAAAATTTCAGCTCGCTACCTCGATATTAACTATGAAAAATACCATTAAGAATTTATCTCCAGTCATTATAGGACATCCTTTGTGGGACTTCGTAATTCCTTAAAAGTCCATTATGGGGACGAATCGTTTATACCACGTGCTATACTCACTGAACTCTAGAAAATGGGCAGTGCCATATTCGAAATGGAAACTCACACTTGGGGATCTTCCCTCGTCAGACAGCATCGAACATCTAGGTAATTCTTGAAGCATTTCTTGGCATATGTAATCCATCATGGAAGCACTCTTCATGTTCGGGTATTTCCAAACATAGTTTATTATCTCTAGTCTTTCAGTTTTTGCATCATTTATTTTATTATGTGTAGAGTTAACTTTGAGACTCCCTTCTTTTCGCTTATTTCTACTCCCTTTTATCATTAAACTGGAAATGACCGAAACAGAAAGTTCGAGTTCGGTGCATACCTAGTTTAAAGAAATATGTTCATTTCTGGTTAAGAGACATCCTTTCAATCAAAGTTTTGTGCCACTATGACTGGATGGTTCACATGTTCGGAATAAACTATCAAGGATATGAGCGTTAATGTCACTAACGATTGTTTGTTTCGGATCGTCCGGACATAGTACATTGGCTACGCTATGACATACATCGGTCTTTGTGATTAGTCAGTGTGTACAGGGAGTTAAGTCGATCTTTCGTTGAGAGCTGCAGCTAGTAATAGGGTATTCTCCTTTAGATACCATTTGTGTGATAGTTAATTACGCTAATTTAAAATGAACATATTTTTAGATATGCGGAACAGTTGTTCGAAGCTAAAATTCTAATCCTGACGCTGGTTTCTTAGCCGATCATTATATAACAACAATCTCTTGTTCTACTATTTCTTTCTATTTTCACCTAAATTATAAATCTGAATAATTAATACCTTGAGTGTTGTTGATGCTCGAAAAAATCCAATACTTTCAGGCATATTATTTCTTGTCACACAATAAACATCAAAAGTATAATTTATTTTTTGACCTGTTTTTTTTCGAAAATTGAATATTTCCTGTTAAACCTTGAAAAGTTATATTTAATAATGTTTCCTGCTGACCATGGTTGTATATGATTATTTCAACAATCAATACCTGGTGTTAAACCATTATAAAATTTTCCTTGTCGAAATACTTGGAATTTATCATGTGTTTTATTTGTTGAACTTAACATACAATTTATTGTACGTAATAATGTTTCCCATACATCAGCTATTAATAAACTTTCAATTGATAGAATATTTCTTATTTTAGTATTTTTTATTGAATTTGTATAATTTTCATAGTATAAAAAATGTTTGACTATCATTTGAATTATTATAAGATGGTAATGCAAAAAATGTTACATTAATACCATCATAACGAAAATAAGTCATATTAAGTTATTTAGCATTTAATCTAAGTAATATATCATGATAAACAGCTGTTGTCATACCACGATATTTAAGTTTATCTAATGTTATTCTCTATGCATCAAATGAATGAAAATCTAAAACAATATATCGACCTTGATTTGTTTGATTTGAACTTGTTGATGATAATAGTGAACGTGATGGAAAATTTGTTATCATATCAATATTTTGTAATAAATCATATGAATCATCCGGATTTTCTAAATAACGACTAATTATATTTAAATTTTGTATTGTATTTGTTGTTTGCATTTGTATTAATTGTTCAAGACGAATAAATCCAATTAATGCTGGTAATACATCTGGCATTAATGATATATAATAATTATTTTTAATATAATCATGATTATCTAAACCAAGAAATGATACTTAATAAGATGAACAAAACCAGATAACCAATCGAAATCATCTCGATGAATATGACCAATAATTGACATTATTCCATTAGATACTTGAATACATAATATTGACCATGTATCAATATCAGATTTGTCAAAAATCAATTGTATCAACAAGTTCAGTGACATTATATTGAAAACATCGTTCAAGTTTATTAAGAACATATTGACGAGCTAATGAATTGATACGAGCATAAAGTTCTCGATAGTATCCATTGAACATTAAGCCTACATAGAGAAGAGTTCACTGCCGAAGAAGATACACTGGCTTAATCTAATCACTAAAACTTCGATGGAAGAGAGAATATTTTCATCAATTATAAGGCTAGCATAGTTTTTTCAACTATACAATTCGGAGTGATTTATAACACAATACAAGACGAAAAATGAGATATTTTCAGCATTTAAAGGTTATAGTCTAAGGCTATAGTCTAGAATGAAGAAGTCTGGAATACAAGAATACGGAATATTTTGAAACGAAAATAGATTTCTAATGCAAGAAGCCGAAAATCGCACTAGTGATCTTATTTTCAGTCATTGTATCCAAGCATTCCCATTTGACTTTGATCAAAGATCTCTCTCAAATTTCACGCTATTTTTAAATTCAATCTTACCAACAGATATATTTAAAATTGTTTGCACAGTTTGTATATACACAACAGCAATAACTAATAAATAAAAGCCTAAATTTGTCTTCATATTGGTTAGTGGCGTAACCAAGGTAGGGCCAGGGGGGCTCAGCCCTACCACCCGACCTTTCAGCCCTACCACCGGTGTTAGCACATCGTCAACTGAATCCTTTCACAAGCCCTACCACCCCACAGGCCTCGGTAACCTGAGCCCTACCACCGGATATTTAAGCGTTGCTGAGCCCTACCATCGCCAAAACTCTGGTTACGCCGCTAATATTGGTTACAAAAAAAACAATAAATTTGTGTTTACACTTTGTTAATATATAGGGTGTCCAGAAAGTAACTCCACAAAGAATAGCTTACATATATATCTCCACCATATTTTGACCAAACCGGCTGATATTTTTACCACTGATAGAGGAGTGTGCATAGTTCATATTCATAAAGGACACGTTGTCAAAAATTGTTTAGAAATAGTACAACTAACTTCAACAAAAAACTGAGATCTTTCGTGAGTTATAAGAAAAATGATACTGCAGTTTTCTCAATAGATGGAACTTGCAGGATACATTTAGTAACGAGACATGTATCTGTCAGTTAACTATGAAAGCAAATGATGCTAGTGCAAGGTAGTCAAAAAAAAAAGATGTCATTTATTCTTAGCTAAGAAAATAAATATATTCTTTTTTTC